CAGGTAGACAATAAAGAGATCCAGGCTAGAGAAACGATCTAGGGCCATCTTCCAAACTACCTCCAGGTAGACAATAAAGAGATCCAGGCTAGAGAAACTATCTAGGGCCATCTTCCAAGCTACCTCCAGGTAGACAATAAAGAGATCCAGGCTAGAGAAACGATCTAGGGCCATCTTCCAAACTACCTCCAGGTAGACAATAAAGAGATCCAGGCTAGAGAAACTATCTAGGGCCATCTTCCAAGCTACCTCCAGGTAGACAATAAAGAGATCCAGGCTAGAGAAACGATCTAGGTCCATCTTCCTGTAGTATGCAATTTTACCCTCACCTTTCCCAGTAGATAACACGTTCAGACAGACAAGGGACCAAAGCTAGAGCTATGACCTTGGACCATCTCCATAGTGGAGTACATGGATTTAAACTCACCTTTTCCCAGTGGATAACATCTCCAGACAGACAAGGGACCAAGGCTACAGAACTGGCCTAGAGCCACCTCCATGTAGTACATGGGTTTACCGACCAAAATGAGAAGTATGAAGTATGGAAACAGAAAAGCACCTGAGAAAGAAAAAAAAAGGTAAGAATACCAATTGAAACCATACAACAATGTTGCCAAAAATTACCTTTTTCAACCAATAAAAGTATTTTTAGACAATACGTAACTTGTTTTAAACAATTCAAGGAAGTAACATTCATCTGCACATGTGCAAAAGCAAGATAAAACATTTCATAGATTATGTTTAAAATGATATATTCGGTTAACTATGAACGATTGACACTCGTTTAAAATCAAATAATTGCAATTAAAGGCAGAAGTACATAAAAACATGTAACATATAACAGTGTTTCGAGTGAAGGCTATTGATGGCTATGTTCAACTTTTAACTGTAGGAATATGAATCATTCCATTTTCATTATTTCTTTAATTTCAATCCATTCAATTATTTGAAAATCAGAATGGAAATTGTTAATGTTTTATTTTAAACTCTGATTTCACAGTAATTTTCCTATGAAAACATAGGAATTCTAAAAACAGTGTAAAAGAATGCAAAGAAGAAAATTTAATGATATGTTAACCATGTCTAGTTCTGACAAGGTCTATCGTCCAATAGCCAGCTAGAATACAACAGAGATAGTATTGGTCTAGCTACCACTTATATCAAATGCAGAACAACAACTGTTATACTGTGAACTAGATGAAGTAAAAGAATTGTAATTAGTATTAATTTAATTTAAGTCATTTACAAATTTGACTTGTGAGTAAGAATTAATAACACATTATTAAGTAATATTTCTTGGTACTTGTGTATAATGCTAAAATAATAAATAACACATAACGTTAAAATAGGTACACGATTAAAAACAATTCCTAGAGAAAATCACATAAGTTGGAAAATCATTATTAAAAATAGATGCATAGGTCACTTGACCTATTTAACAAAAAATAAATAACACATGATTATGTCTTACTACTAACTCCTGAAGATGACATTGCAATGTCGAAATATGTAGAGTCAACTTTTTTAGTGGTCATATATATTTTAATGTTGTGTGTTATTTATTGAATTAACACATTATTATTTATTTCTAACACCAATTACTCATTATTGTTATATTTTACTTGAATTAAATTTGATATCATTCAGAAGAACAGGCAAGTCAACAAGCAAGCTCATGTGAAGTTTTGGCTATAAACTGTCTGCTAGAAATCTCATATATAAATTAAATTTCTCTCACAACTAACAAACTCATGTAAAGTTTTGGCTATGAACTGTCTTCTAGAAATCTCATATATAAATTAAATTTCTCTCACAACTAACAAACTCATGTGAAGTTTTGGCTATGAACTGTCTGCTAGAAATCTCATATATAAATTAAATTTCTCTCACAACTAACAAACTCATGTGAAGTTTTGGCTATGAACTGTCTGCTAGAAATCTCATATATAAATTAAATTTCTCTCACAACTAACAAACTCATGTGAAGTTTTGGCTATAAA